TTGTTTTTGCATCCCTATAAGGCCAGTCTGTTCAACGACAGAGTGTATGCAGCAAAGTGCAGTATGTGACTCACCCTGTTACGAGGCGACTGATCAGACCGAACTGGGTAGCGTTGGTTATGGCTGCACCACAGACAATCAGGAATAGGCCTCGCAGGCCTGTTCCGACAGGCAGCGCATTCCAAAGCTTCCCTAAAAAGCGGTAGAGCAGCTATATGGCCGGCGATAAGCGACTGAGAAGGTTGTGCAAGATAGAAGGGCCTTACCACGCCTGCGGGGATGGCGATTCCATCCATATCCCTATACCCGAGTTCGGCAGCAATTGTCCGCGGTATGTTGATCGTCAGCAACCCATCGGGGTCACTATGCGTAGAGATGAAGAGAACAAAGGGGGTCGCAGCGCCACGTGCACCTGCGATTTGCTTTGCCAGACCAGCAAAGCCCTGCTCCTGGTGGTCGGGGCGGGTGTTCGCAATCGTCAGCTTGGCCGAATAGGTGATAAGCTAGAGTGCATGACTATAAGCCACCTTTTAACAATGTAGTGCAGTCGGAAAGCTCACCCCCTTGTGGTACATCCCCATATCATGTCTGAGAGTCGCGAACACCTGGTCGCGTGCCCGCAGATCGTCCAGATAGAGGAATACAGCAACCAGGTGGTCGACTGCACACTTCTCAGCAAGCGGGGCTAGGCCCTGGCTCGTGAGCCTGTATGGGGCAATCGCGCTGCGGCTCTTGTAGCAGGCGGGGCACATGAAGGTGTTCATAAAGTCGGTCATGCTAACCCCACTAGGAGGTTCGATGCAAGCCGCTGCCTGGTTCGACCCGTATGGGACGCACAGGGACAGCCGACACCCGATCTGGGTGCAAGCAATGACTCCATCGCCGACATTGCTGCATGCCGAGCATCTCTGTGCACAAAAATAAGCATACCACGCACAGATTCGTACAAGAAACTCACCTTGGCGGGAATCCCACTTTGTGGGCGAGCTACAGACTTTTGCTGCCCACTGCTAGAGGCAGAATTGCAGCGAAGCTGTGGGGCTACAAACCATTCTAAATTGTCAGTTAATTCCTGAGTAAGCATTTGATCTATCTACCTGTCGGAGGATGCTGTGACAGGTAATCTGGCAGGCAATGTAAGCATAAGTGCAGCTGCACGACAACACATTGTCGCTGACCTCTGAGAATCTTGATGCCATTGATTTCAACCTCCTCGTTTCCAGCTGAGCGAGATCGGATGACCTCAGCTCGGATTGGAAGCTTAGCTTCCTTATAGCCACCCATTGCGAGATTGGCAAACAGGATCATGTCTGACGAAGACGACATCAGACAGTGAGAAGCAGCAGAGACGATGGAAGATGAAGCTGGCCAAGAACTTTGCCAGCGAACGACATTCAACACAGCTTTCCCGATGGCATGGCAGTCCCAAAAAGGAACATCATTTTGATCGCTGACCAAGCTCTCGCACAGCCCTCCTGCAGTCGCACCAGTTGCTGGCTTTGCACTTCGCAACTGCCACCTCATCTTGCGACCATCTCCCCTGCTCCCTTCTGTCTTCTTGCCTTGTTGTGCACCCCAATGGCTTCCAACTCTTCTCGCAATGAACACCCTTACGACAACAGACTCAGGTACTGGAAGAATGAGTCTTCCATCGCACCTCATGAGCTCTCCGATGCTCTGATGATAGAGTGGTTTAGCCTGCCTTACAGTGTCGAGACCGAGAAGTACCACAATCCCCCTTTGCGGAAAGCGATGCGGGGTGCAACCCCGAAGCTCCAGTGCTACATCCCTAACCACTTGCGCGAGCTCGTGCGCTTCGTAGTCAGGATCCTGGCATTATATCAACACCTCGCAGCCCGTGTCCCTTGGATCGACATGCGGGCGAAAGCCAGTGCCAACAACCAGCCCACCCTCGCTGCATGGGTGCACCAGATGTACTCTGGTTTGCGGCTCAATGCCTACGTTGCCCAGCAGGTGCTCGGGGGTGTCGTCGACAAGGTCAAGGCAATCACCATCGCAGAAGGTCTCCGCGATTCCAGTACCGCTGCATCGTCTCGCAGATTCCCCCCTNTCTTCCCACATCCCT